AATAATAGTAATAATAATAATAATAATAATAATAATAATAATAATAATAATAATAATAATAATAATAATAATGTTCATAAATAAAATAATGTCTTGGTAATTAAAATTTTCATAAATTTGACAGGTTAAACATATATTAGAATTAATTTTTTCAACCCCAACCATTTCCAGTTAATTGGAGCTAATTGCATGCTAATCTGTTTCAGATTATATCATTATGGATGTGACTATGGTAGTAGAAAATGGTATTAAAAAAAATTAGAAGTGATAACAGAAGAATATCGGCTTCATGTACATGTTACCAAAGAAATGGAAAGAAATCATGGTATGAGAAAACTGAAGGATTGATATAACTGATAATTTAATTGCTATCCCAACAGCATCTAATATTTCGTTATCCTAAATTTTTTAAAAATTTCAAAGCTTTTAAAGGCGAAAAGTTACTTTATGTGATTTCTATTTTATTAATGTGAATTATTTAACATGAACATGAAATAAATAACGGAAAAAAAATTAACAAAAAACCAAATTATTTTTTAAAAATTTCTTAGAGCAAATTAATGATAAGCGCAGTTTGCAGGCTCATTATCAGATGACATTGACAATGATACGATGAATGCAACGAATTGCCAATGCATTCGGAAGAATTGTGCATGCTGCATGATGTTAAACATTCCAAAAATTAGTCTCAATGGTTATGGTATGTATATATTTCAAAAGTTTTTTTCTTTTTTTGGCTAAGAAAAGTTTACTTTTTGTTTTCATTATAATCAAGAAAATAATGATATTTTATAATAAAAACGAAGTATTCCGTGAATTGGAAAACATTAGTAATAAGTAAGTTATTAAGGGAGGTAAAATGGGAAAGGCAAATAAATATGAGAGAATTATGAAGGCTAAATTTCTTTTTTACTTCATTTAATTAATAAATTTTGAAGGAAAAATTACTTAATATATTTTGAAATTAATATATTATCTTTAATTGCTATTTTTTTTTTCAATGTTTATTATTTCTTCTTAATTTCCTTCTTTTTTTTTTTTTTTTTTAGTACAGAAATAGCAGTAATGGATAATATTTGCAATATATTTTATTTCAATCTGTACGATTTGTATGCTTCATTGTGTTTATTATCATATGTGATAAAATGAAATATGTTTGCTCTATTATTGGTATAATTTGAATTCAAATGGAAACAGAATTTAATTTCTTTTTTCTTTCAATAGAAAAGTCACGAAAAAATTTTTTCCTTTCCAAACAAAAAAATTGAAAAGTTTATTGAAATTTTACAGAATTAAAAATTCAATTCGAATTCGAAAATTTTCGCAATAACATATTTTTCCAAAAAAATATTTAGAAAGAAGTGTTTCAAATATTTAAATTTGATGCAAAATTCAATCACTATTTTTCTCAAATTTTCTGATGTCATTATATTTTGGTTTGTGGATTCTAAGATTTGGTGATCAAACTAGGATAGGTCAATCTATCTAGTTTAATAAATTTGCATTAGTCTTGTAAAAAACGAGAATTCAAATCGAAGTTAAATGGAGTACCATTTCATAAAATATTTTACACCTTTGCCAATCAATATTATGTCGTAATATTTATGTTACAATGCAATATACTTATATTTGCTGACACTACACTGTAGCATGTCATACTGTGATACAATACAAAGAATTTCAGCGTTGTACTGTAACGTAGCAACGTAGTACAATATACCGGTATTTACGATATCATGATATTAATACGACATACCTCCGATCAAGGACTTACTGTAGTACATTATGTTACTGCATGAAACAGTATACTTCCACTCACTGACCACACCGTGTTATATTATGTCATATGTAATACTGCATTGCAGATACGGTACTTTGGGATGTACTTGCTGGCATTATATTACATTGCAATATACCTGCCTGACATTATGCTTTTATAAGTGTACTGTAACTAATCAATAATGACATGTTACAGTATAGCATACTGTAACACAATACAATACAACTATACTTACTGACATACTTTAGTGTAATATATAGCACACCTGTACTTGCTGACGCTACACTGTAATGCAGTACAGTACACATAACCTGCCGATGTCATGCTGTAATAAGGCGTACTGTAATATAACAGAGAAATAAAGCGTACCTATGCTTAGTGATGTAATGCAGTACATCTATAGTCGTACTGTAATACAGTGCAATATAATATAATGACATATTTGTATCCGTTGAAAAACTGTGTAGATAAGAGAATTTGAAATTAAATTGAAAATTTGCAGCATGCGTCAATATTACGTATATATCCGAAGATATCGGTCTCCGTTTATCCTTTTCTGTCAATGGATATGTTTATATCTCAAGAGAAATATCATGTTAGTTCTAATCCGTTTCTTTTTGCTATATTTTTCATTTGTCACATAATTCGAAAGCAGAAGTGATATTTTCCAAAAAAAAAGAAAATGTACTGTTACATTTGAAAAACGTAACAATATCCATGTAGAGATGAGAATAATGTGAGAAAATATATTTGGATTTTATTTTCAACAATAAAAATTTTCGAATTTCAAATTCCACTTATGAATTGAATTTGCTTGAATGGAATTTTCTTCTTTTTTATTTTACAGTGCGTAATCCGCCGCCGTATTGCTTGTCATTGCCATTTTTGAAAGAATATGCTGCCATTTGTATACATTTACGTGATGTAAGTAAAATATAAATTTTTACATTTCCTCAATTTTAATCCTTATTTTCGTGACAATTTTTAGGTAATATTTTTAAATTTCATCAAAACTGTCTAAAAATAGAAACAATTCAAAATTTAATAGAAATTATGATCTTATTTTTAGTTAAAATTTCGAAAAACAAATATTGATGGTTGTTTGGAATTAGACGCTGAACTGTATCACGTCCACGTAGCAACGGTACATCTAGGATGTTTCTCTATACCGATCTAAAATCGCAGAATGAATGTAATTATAATGAATATATATATATATATATATATATATATATATATATATATATATATATATATATATATA